TGCTTCAGATACAGTATCAATGGCTTCTTCTAATTTTCTTAAATGACTATCTACCTGACTACTTAACTTGGCTAAGCCCTGTTGGCCAGTGACAAGAGCTGAGGTTCCAGTGGCTGAGGAGACTGCCACTCCCAGGCCCACCAGCAATGGCAATAAAAATTGGGCAGCTCAGAGGTACCGACTTCCTCCTGTGATAAGGTTTAGATGGTCTCTTCCCTCTGCTCCACTAAACAAATACCCTTGGGGCACCACATGGACCAAAATGCACAGCTCTGAATTTTTACTCTGGTTAAGGATAGGAACACACAAACAAGGGGTGAATCTGGATGTACAGGCAAGCCAGGTGTTATTGGGGGTTTTAAGTCATTGATGTTCTTCATTGGGGAGCAGGGCAGAGTTAGCTATAGTAAGGAACAGGTTACAACTGTCACAGTAATGTCTTTAATGGGGTGAGTGGGCACCACCTACAATGCAAGTTTCCGTCTCGGAGACATCTCCCAGTGTCATTCGGGGTCTGATGTCCCAGGTGAAGACCATTTCCAAAGACTCAAAGTTTACAGGCTTAATGGACTGCTGTTCTATAAGGTTAGTAGCTATTCCTACAACAAAGGAGGTTTAGGATCTAAACATAAAAAAAATTCCGTTGTAATACATGGGTTGGTGCAGTTGGAAAAATCAAATACCGTGTCTAAAAGCTATAATATTTCATCTTTGTCTGAACTGACAAGGCGGCTGTCTGGGAAGGTGGTTTCTTGGGTTGGCAATGGACTTATAAAGGTTGACTGGGTTGGTGGAGGGACCACAATGGGTGCAAGAGGGCCTATAGGTTTTCATTTGGGCCAATTATTAGTGCCTCCTTGGTTCAAGGGAGAAACTTTTCTTTGGATAGTGATCTCTCTGTTCCTGGGTCAGTGCCTGAAACATACGATCTAAGTCCACAAGTTTATCCCAAGTTCCACTCAGATATTTTTGAGGTTGGGTCATACTTTTTGAGTTGAATGTGATATGGATTACATTGGGTTAATTTTCAGGATTTAGTTACGTTTGTCTTTCTGCTGAAAAAAGTGTCTGGGTCAGAGGGGGAAACAGTCCACCTAGTGGCTTCTGTTACACAGCTGCATGATGTGCAGTGAAATTGTCCTTCACTATGGCAGGATCTGGGACCGGTGATGGGGCACGCATAGGTCTTCTTTCCTTTACAGGCTTAGTGGGCTGCTGTTCTATAAGGTTAGTAGCTATTTCTACAAAATAAGTGATGATTCGCCCATAAAGGAACAGTTCAGCCAAGCTCACTGACAAAGAGACTAGTATCCTAGATAAATGCTTAGCAGATAGGAGAGAGCAGGGAATTGAATGAAGAAATAGTTTGTGCCCAAAGAATACAAAAGGCATATCACAATACTGTGAGTTGGAATCTGCTACGTTTAAAGATCAAGGAGAACCTTTAATCGTATGCTAAAAAGCAAGACTTTCACATGCAACACCAGTTCACAGTACTTAATAAACTTTACCAAACTTATACTGGTAGGGAATTTACAGTTTATCAAATCTGCAGCAAACATACTTACATGTGAAATATTAAAGGCATTCCCAATAAAATACAGACCAAGAGAGAAGAAAAGTACAATTTGGAATGTATAGCCAGTGACCAGGCATACGTATACAATAATAGCAAAATAATTGAAGTATGAATAAAGAAAGAAATCATGATCATCTAATTTAAATATTCCAAAGGACTAGTTCACAATGTATTTAAGTATACCAGAAGCCTTCACAAAATTTATGAATGTCTTTTCCATTGAGGTTTTTCTTTCTCAATTTGTTACTGCCTTAATTTTTTTGTTTTTGGCTTTGTATGTTTTTTTGTATATCAAATCCAAGATTTATAACTATGGAGACTGTAATCGCATTAATGGTTTCCTGGGTACGGGGTGGGGGGGCAGGGTAGGTTGAGTGGGTAGATGGGGGTGGAGGAATGGGAAGTTAACAACCATGAGTACAGGAGAGAAGAAACTGTCCCAAACTTGAATGTGGTGATAATTTCACAATGCATTTAAATAAGATACATCTAATGAATTGTATGATGTGTGAATTACATGTCCTAAAACAGCCCTGCTGTCATTGTGTTTTAAGTTCATGGAACAATGTCACGAAAAGAAAATGGCACTTCCCTCAAATTTGTCATGTCCCCTCCTGGAAGAAACCTCAGAAAGCTGGTGTGGCAGATCACTAGGGCCACACCAACGACATGCAGGGACTTGGAACATTTCATGGGAAAAGATATGACTGAAAACAGCAGCTGCATCTGAATTTATGCCTAACGTGAACTCACGAAAGTAGTCAGGGTCTTTATGGAGGCAGCTATGAGGCCTTGCCTTTACAATTAATCAAAAGAACAAAGTTGGATACAATGTTTATTAGCGAAGACCAGGACAATAAAAAGCCTGTCTCAGCCTAAGCCAACCGCAGTGTCTCCTGGTAGTCAGTTCTGAGTCACAGGCACCCAGTTCCTCTCGAATCATTTCCCAGTTTAGTGCCTCATCTGAAGGAGGTGGTCTGGGATCAGCAGAGAAGAGGTCCCTGCAAGATTCAAGGTAAGGTGCTGAGGGAGGACTGGGTTTCTACGATTTCTGAAGAGAGGGGACCACAGGGTTTGCTCCCTCAGAACTCTGATTCTCCGAGCCCCTGCTCTCTTCATTGGGAGGACCCCAAACTTGGGTGTTGGCTCAGGCTCCACAATTCTTCGTTTGTTGGGCAAATAAGGGTCTTGACACCCCTGGTTGATCCAATTTAAGAGGGCTTGCAGGAGTGAATAATGCCTCCTTCTGTGTGAATTCTGTGGAGCAGACATAGGCGTCTTCACATTGCCACACCCCATGCGAGCGCAGTAACACCAGGTCTTATGGTTCTGGCGGCTGTGCTGAGAGACACTGTGTTCTAAGAGCCAAGGCTTGCAATCTGGAGAAGTCGGAGGTCCGACCGGGTGTCAAGCTATGTATCTCAAGTAAGAACTGAGTGGACTTAACTTCCTCCCAGGACAGAGGCAGCCAGATAGGGTCCCAACCCGATGATGAGCCCCAGGGGGCCAGAGACATGTCTGTTAGACCCAATGCCCCCTGACTTCCTCCAGGGAGGTTGTGGGAAGGGAGGCTTTTGTCTGAAGCAGGCAGTCTCAAATCAAGATAGGAATGAGTCCCCAGACCGCTCAGGAGTCCAAGGGATCATTCTGAGCTTCCAACCCCCGAAAAAATAGAAATGGCTTCAGAGAATCCTGCCCAGCCCTACTTGTGGGTTTCTACGGTAGTACTGTCAAGTTAATGGTAACCTGTTGAAATTGCTTTTCTTGGAGCTACGGCAGAACCTCCCTCCTGAGTCTCCACACATCTCATCCTTTTTTTCAAGGGTGAGCTCTTCAGCAGTGCAACGTCCTGTGCTCTGAAGAAGCCAACAGGCCTCCCAGTCAGAAAGGGAATTACTGAAACCCAAATGTTGGCTGAACATCATAGTGAGACAATAGGAAAGTAAAAGGAGATAGAAGAAATAGCTAGGAGGCAAAGGGCATTTATAGAAGTCTAAATACAGGCATGTACCTATGTAAATATATTTATATATGATGCTGTGGACATCGATCTATGTCAGTGCTTCTCAAGCTTCCTAATGCCGTGACCCTTTAATACAGTTCCTCATGTTTTGGTGAAGCCCCCCCCAACCATAAATTTACTTTTGTTGATACTTCATAGCTGTAAGTTTGCTACTGTTGTGAATCGGGCAATCCCTGTGAAAGGGTTGTTCGACCCCCAAAGGGGATGGGACCCATAGGTTGAGACCCGCTGATCTGTGTGCATATATTTATAGTTTTAGTATTAGGGTAGAAATTAGATGGACTACTCAAGTACTCCCTCAATGCAAGAACACTTTGTTCTATTAAACTGGCATTCCATGATGCTCACCTTCCCAGCACA